CAGCCTGCTAGATAAGCAATTTGTCAACATAAAAGCGGTGAGGATCATGAGACACATTGGAGACAATGTGATAGGTTGCAAAGACAGAGACGATGTTGGTATATTTTTGAGGAGGGAGTTATGACAAGGTTTGAAATGGGAAGAGACAGCATTGGAGGAGAAGAAGGCATATACAGTGTCATTTAGCATGGATTGGTGAACTTTAGGATAGAGGAGAGAAAGACAATGGGAGCAGGGCTATGGCTAGGGGAACACCAGGTGAAATTCTTTTCATTGGTTAAGGCATTGGTTAGTAGTGGGAAGAACCATAGAAGATAGTACTGCAATTAACTTTATCTTGGCAGAATATGTGTTACGTTTTATTATACAATTCATGTTCATAGGTAGGTTAAAAATGTAAAACAAAATCAGAAATTGCCGGTGAAACTCAGCAGGTCTGGCAGCATCTGTGGAAAGAAAGCAGAATTAATATTTTAAGTCTGGTGACTCTTGATCAGAACTATACTTGGACTTGTAGCATTAAATGTTCTGGTTTTGTTTTAGATCTCCAGTACCTGCAGTTCCTTTTTTTAGCTTAAAAATGCATGTTAGTTGAGCAAGATCCTTAATGTCTTTGTCAGAATTAATTTTTCAATGGTGACATCTCCATGACAGCACTAACCTTTTGTTGCTTCTGAATGCCATGTCAGGTTCTTGCAATTGTTTAGCCAACCAATTAATTTGAAATTATGATATTGTTAATTTAATATGTTGGACTTCAAGGTAACTTTTGAATTATATTTACATAGCAATAAGATAACATCATGTTGAATGAAAGCCAGGTTATATTCTGATTGTTTTTAGACAATACACCATGTCAGTTGCCCAGTTAATTATCTAAAGGAAATATGCATCCAAGTATTTGTAATTTTATTGTATACATATCCAGATGTATCGTCAGCCATACCAAAGCAAATATATTGTACAATGTCATGTCATGCCCTTCCTTGCTGCTTCAATGACAAGTCAATTTAATTGATTATTTAAATTGACATTAACTTGATTTTGTGATCTAATTATAATTAAGTAATTTTAACGGTTCTCATGTATATTTGCATTGCTCTGCTGCTTTATAGGTTATCATATTATTCTATTTTTCTTTATTACTTTCTCATTAATTACAAAAATAAACAAAGGCCAAGTCTCTGACAGAATCTGACAAGAATTAGTACTGAGCACTGGAATGGACCTGAAGGCCCTGACTTCCTCTACGACTTCATTTGAATCCAACTGGTACAGTTGAGCACGAAATTTGAGCACTGTTGATCAAAAGGTCCTCCATATTTGGCCATCCACAAACAGGTGATGTCTGAAAACTGTTTAGTATTTTAAACTGTCATCACTTGACCTTCCCTCCTCACTGAGATCTTTGGACTAACTGCAAATAAACGAGGAGTGGGTGTAGGTCATTCTGCCCTTTGAACCTGACCATAATGACCATTAATGTGACCATAATATTTAATATTTAATATTTAAATTTAATATGACCATAGCTAATCATGTATCTTAATGCAATATTTTCACTTTCTCCCCATATTCCTTGAATTCATTAATATCTAAAAATTTAACTGTTTCTTGAATATATTCAGTGACTTGGCCTCCACAGTCTTCTGTAGTATAGCTAGGAAATTCTTTCAGCCTAATCCTCCATCAATACTTTATTTGAAGTGTAATAGGAGCCCCATTCACATGTAGCAACAGAGCTTCTGCCTCTCATTTAGCAAAGCATACTGACACAACTCACTAAATAAGTTTGATGTCAGGAAAACTCAGCAAGGAAACCAGAGCGAGCACTTGGAGAATGCGGCTTGTTGCTTGCTCCAAATGACCTTCATGTTGGACACAGGGCACCAACAATTTAGGATACTGCTCAATGGGCACTCAGGCACATGCCCATGCCATCAGCATCCAACATGTGCCAACCTCTAAGAACCCTCATGGCACATCTCTATCCACTTACAAGATGCTTCCGTAGTTCAATACTGCACCTTGGACTGAATGGCAAATCATTGTAATGTTGCAGCAAAACAGTGTGCACACAGGGAGATGACCCCAGCTCCTGGTCCAGACCAGACCACATCTCCAGGCTCTGAGTGCTCACTCACTCTGAGCCTACCTGGCTTCTCACAACATCCCTGCCTTGCCTTACGCTTTTGCACTTTGCCCCTCAGCCAGAGATACCAGAGTTCTATTTTCTTGCCTTTCCGTTTGGCACAGCCAGAAAGCAAGGACACCATAGCTGTCAGCTGACCTTAGTCAGTTCAAAGGGACATAGCCTTCATTCAAAGGGTCCTGCCATGGTAAGTCAAGGGCAGGCTCCGATACCAGTCCAGGCCCTGCTCGGGGCTTTCAGAGCCAGGATCCTCTTTCCATTAGGGTTGAAGAGCCGAATGGTGGTCAACATACCACCTGTCTGGACTCTCTCTGCCCTGTTGTGGTTGTTATCCTCATTGAATGAGAGTCAGGCACGTATTACAGGAGCTGAATGTACTGGTACAGCACTTACTATCGTTAGAGGTGGGGAGGTATCCCAAGTGAGTGAGTAGGCAGTGCAGAGGGCATGCTGGGATAGTGCTATTAGGGTTTGGGATGGCTGAAAGCAAGTGAGAGGAGGTGTTGCAGGCCGAAGTGAGAATGGTACAACATGAGCCATTGGGACGGGGTGGAGGGAAGGTGAGGACAGTAGCAGAGATAGATCAAGTGAGAAGTATCAGAGCGATGGTGGAATGTGCCCGAATGGAGTAGAGAAGGACATTGACCTTTTTCCTACACTGTTGCGCATTCCTTCAGAGAGCTGAGGCTGCTTTAACATGGGTGACTCCATTAGACCAGGCTGGCATGGTATGGTGTCGGGACCTCCACTGCTGATCCTGGTGGAAGAAAATATCTTCCTTCTGTACTACCCCATCCAGCTGACTGCTTTGGGAGGCAAGGGAGGAGATTGCTGGGGTCCTGATAGAGATATTCAATACTTTTCTGGCCACACGTGAAATACCAGATGACTGGAGCATAACTAATGAGACAATGTGGACCTGTTGCCGTAAGAATGTTGAAGGATGGTGAGTTTAGTAGCAGTGTACAATTTCAGGTTTAGTATTGCCTGATGGGGAAGGGGCATGGCGGTGGAATGTCTTTGATGGTTGGGCATCAACCAGCGTGTACTAGGTTTCTTTTATAGCAAAGGGATTCTCAAAAATGGCAGGAAGTGGAGTACTTCGTGATGAATGAACCATGCAATAATCTGGCATAGCTTATATTTGTCTGCCCAGTTTCATGGCAAAGGTCCAGCCTGGCTTTGATGGTCTAGAAGCACGTGAGATTCAAGTTATGGGAAGTATCTTCTTCAGAAATTCCAAAAGCTACTTTAGATCCATTCTCCTGTACTAGTGGAAGCTAATGCTCATCTTCTTCAAAATTGAATTTGTGACCAAAGTTGTGCAACGATAAAAATCAGATGTTTTCAGTTAACCTGGAAAAAGCTAGTTGCAAATATGTTGAAGGCAGCAACAATCTTGATATGCACAGATAAGGGCGATGGGTGGGTGAGAGCCAAGACAGCATGCAATATTGAGAGTGGTGGATCATGAACCTTGGTGGGAAGTAGATGTAATGGCAGAGGCAGACTGAGTGTGAGGTAACAGGGACAAGATGGTGGAACTTACCCCTACAGAGCACACAAGATGATTAACTTGCTTGTGGCACTGCTCTGCATTCCTCCAGACCGTGGCAACTACACTGACCCAACTGGCTACTTCAGACCAAGCTGTCAATAAATGGCACACTGAGATTTAAATATGGTGCATGTGACATGAAAACTGCAAGGTCCCAGCACCAATAAGCATTTCAACACTGCTGAGCACAAGATAGTGAGAGAACAGTGGTACTCCACTAAGTTTGCTAAGTATGAGGCATTTCGAAAAGTACACTTATTTGTTTCGACCGGGCGAAAGTTGGGAGGTGTTGCTGCAGAAATTAAACTGCCTCTTCCAATATGAGCATCACTAAATTCGTTATGGTATTTCCAGGTATAATAACATGAACTGAAAAATTAATTTGTTAAAGTTTTAGGCATTTACTAGAGATTATCTGTCTGTCCCTTTACCATAGTGAGAACCAAAAAAAACAATAACACCAGGGTTTTATGGAAAGGATATGATTTGATTATATTTGTGGAAAACTGTGGACAAAATGCTCTGTTGTCACTGCATTGTATGAATGCTTATGTTATATAGTTATTTTGCAATATGAGGTTTTCAAAAAATTATTCCATAGCCTGAAAAAAGTAAATTGGCAAGGTGGCAGTTTTCACAGAAGAATATTTGGGTATCAGGTTTGGATCCAAGCAAAATAAGAAGTCTGAATGTCAAAGTCATCCTCTTACATATACCAGAGTGTTTAATAAATTAAATGATGGCAAGAGACAGAATATATTTATCAAACAAGCACTTACAATATTTATTTTAATGGATGAAGGGACCAAAAGTGCAGGTAAAGAGTTAATTTACCAACAATAAGAAACAATTGATTTCTCTAAATTGTCCTTACTAACTGGCATAAACATAACAGAGCTGAGTAAGGCAGCAAGAAACTTTACCAGATTTAATAGTACTATCCAGTAGCTGCTGTTTTCAATTACAGAAACATTCTTTTTATTCAGTCTTGCTTGCTAACACAGTCACCCTGGTATGGAACAGAATATCGAAATACTAATTTTAGAATGCAGAATAGCGCTCAGACAGATGCAAAGAAACTACAGCTCCTTTGAGAAATGAAGTGACAGATTGGTACATTTGTGTCACAATTGAAAGTAATTAGTTAAGGTTTGAGGAAAGACTTCATTTCGAAGGCTTGCGTCGATCATAAAATTCAACCAATAGGGTTGGACTGTGTAGCAGCTGTTCTTAGACAGTGCAATTCCACCTCTAGAGCACAGTCTTAATATTGTGTATAAAATGGGTGGTAGTATCGCACATGCAGCCTTACAGTGCTGGTAGTCAGTTCAAATACGATTCAGATCCTTCATCCCTGGTGAGTGATGTTGTTGCTGCTCTCTACTTGCACGATTTCTATTTTGCAGAATCAATATCGATAATGCTTCATCACTGGAGTTATTTTCCCAAGAAAGAAAAACACTTTAATGCTTATAATTTTTAAGTTCAAATGCATCTTTTAGAGCATTATAACTAATGAACTGTTTTCATATAGTATGTACATTGTTATTAAATTATGTGATTTTGATTTAAGCATGCTGTGAGTAAAGCAACATTTTAAATTAAATCTTTAAAAATCAAATGTTTGCTTTCTTTGATTTTATCTTCTTATTTTTGTGTTAGATGCAAAATCTGAATTCATGGTTGTTTGTATTGGGGAGTATTCCAACAGATCAAAAGGGAGTTTGATTCATGGGTCATTTTATTGCAGTTTATGGTACAACATTGATAACCTCTTTAGTGATTTGTTTTATTGTATAGAAAACAGTAACGTTTATATATCTGTGACTGATCAAAACAAGAGTGCTATGGTAGTGTTAAAGTGACTGAATGGAAAGCTCTCTTTAGGGAGTCTTGTATTTTTTTGTTGCGTAACAACATTTATTAAGTGTTTTGCTTCATTGAAAGTAGAAATAAATCATTTTGGTGGAAGACAATTACGAGTTTTAATGTACAGACCAATTGTGACTTACTAATTATTCACTAGTCCACAATCAAATTAATGAAATATTGAATTACACAGGTGAATTAGAAATTGCATTTTGAGTTGTTACACATTTGCTGGGAATAACACTGAGCCCATTCTCTCCACACAGAATCTTATCTCATGTTTTTGTGTTTAGTCTGCAAGTGCTACCACTAAGAGGCAACCGAAGTCTTTCTGATTAAGACCTTTTCAACATGTCCACTGAAAAAGTGATGAATTCAATGAGCAGCCTGTGTGAAACGGAGATTCAAGATCATATTTATAAGCAGGCATGCTGTTCCAGAGAAGAAAAGTATTTTCCCCTTTAATAATTAACGTCAAGTGTATTGTTGATGAATTAATTCTTAACGGTTCATTTTGTTTTGGACATAGGTTTAACATTAGACAAAATATCCAACTCATCAGCTCACATCCATTGTCTTGCTTCTGGATCAATGAATATTTTGCAGAATATTCACAATCTTGTAAAGGAGATGTTTTTGAGGTTATTTATCATAAAAATTTGTGTCACCATAAATCAGCATGTCTTTAATTTGTGTTTAAAGCACTTTAGGTATTATAGTTCTCGATAGACGACTTACTGAATTGTTTCAACATAGTGAAGAATGTTAGCCTAGAGGAGAGAACATGATTAACTTTCAATTTGATTAAACTACTACAAATTCAATGCAGCATAAAACATGTTTTCTTGACAAAGAACTACTCTGTCAACAACAATATGGAGTAAATTATCATGCCAGCAGTCGAACTGAAAATATCTGTAGACCTCTGGCAGTTGTCTCTACTTTTCCAGGGAAAAGGTTACATTTAGGCTGTTTTCTTTTGAGAGAAGGGAGGAGACACCTGCATCTACAATAAGTTCTTAAAATGAACTGTGAGGAGATTTTAGCCAGTGAACCAAAATTTATTCCGCCTTATCGTTTGTCAGAGTTCCTAATAATATTCAACACCATAGCTTGATAATTATCCATAAACGTAGTGTGAAGGTATGTTACATTGTAGGGTGTGCAGGAAATGGTTCTCTGATATAGTAAATTTTTCTTGTATTATTTAGTTTCTAATAAAAACAATAGACCAGTTTTTAGTGTGCATTAGCTTAATTCTGAAGCATAAATATTGACAATCCACTGGATACACAGCAGTAATGTAAAGATGTTAAATCTGTTTTTACTTTGTGTTTATAAGTAAATAAGGCTCTGAGAGGAAACTACAACACAAAGCCAGCAAGACAAGTAAAGTCTAGGATGAACAGCAGACCTTTATAGCAGCCATATAGTGGATCATTCCTCCCAACATGTCAGTTATATATTTTTAGGCATCAAATTGAATGTTTGTAATATTTATAATTAATATTTCCTTCTCTTCCCAAATTCAGCCATGGGATGGTGTTCAAATTAATTTTTACAAAGTTTATGAAACTTCTCACTATATTTTAAGGAGACACATGTTACAACAATAAAACTCTTTACATTAACTTTACAGTATGAAATATTGACAGCTGGGGGAGGCAATGGCCGAGTGGTATGATCGCTGAACTATTAATCCAGAGACCCAGGTGATGTCCTGGGGATAACACGGTGTAGAGCTGGATGAACACAGCAGGCTAAGCAGCATCAGAGGAGCAGGAAAGCTGACGTTTCGGGTTGAGACCCTTCTTCAGAAATGGGGGAGGGGAAGGGGATTCTGAAATAAATAGGGAAAGAGGGGCAGGCGGATAGAAGATGAATAAAGGAGAAGATAGGTGGAGAGGAGACAGACAGGTCAAAGAGGCGGGGTTGGAGCCAGTAAAGGTGAATGTAGGTGGGGATAGGTCGGTCCAGGGAGGACGGACAGGTCAAGGAGGCGGGATGAGGTTAGTGGGTAGGAGATGGGGGTGGGGCTTGAGGTGGGAGGAATGGCTAGGGAGGCGGGGACGAGCTGGGCTGGTTTTGGGATGTGGTCGGGGGGTGTAGATTTTGAAGCTTGTGAAGTCCACATTGATACCATTGGGCTGCAGGGTTCCCAAGCGAAATATGAGATGCTGTTCCTGCAGCTTTCGGGTGGCATCATTGTGGCACTGCAGGAGGCCCAGGATGGACATGTCGTCCAAGGAGTGGGAGGGGAAGTTGAAATGGTTCGCGACTGGGAGGTGGAGTTGTTTGTTGCAAACTGAGCGTAGGTGTTCCGCAAAGCGGTCCCCAAGCCTCTGCTTGGTTTCCCCGATGTAGAGGAGACCACATCGGGAACAGCGGATGCAGTATACCACATTAGCAGATGTGCAGGTGAACATCTGTTTAATGTGGAAGGTCTTCTTAGGGCCTGGGATGGGGGTGAGGGGGGAGGTGCAGGGGCAGGTGTAGCACTTGCTCTAGTTGCAGGGAAAAGTGCCGGGGGTGGTGGGGCTGGAGGGGAGTGTGGAGCGGACAAGGGAGTCCCGGAGAGAGTGGTCCCTCCGGAAAGCAGACAAGGGTGGGGAGGGAAAAATGTCTTTGGTCATGGTGTCAGATTGCAGATGGCGGAAATGTCGGAGGATGATGCATTGGATTCGGAGGTTGGTGGGGTGATACGTGAGAATGAGGGGGATTCTGTTTTGGTTGTTATTGTGGGTAGGGGGTGTGAGGGATGAGTTGCGGGAAATGCGAGAGACACGGTCGAGGGCATTTGCAACCACTGCGGAGGGGAAGTTGCGGTCCTTGAAAAACGAGGACATCTGGGATGTCTGGGAGTGGAATGCCTCATCTCGGGAGCAGATGTAGTAGAGGTAAAGGAATTGGGAATAGGGGATGGCCTTTTTGCAGGAAGGTGGGTGAGAGGAGGTGTATTCTAGGTAGCTGTGGGAGTCAGTAGGCTTGAAATGGATATCGGTTTCCAGGTGGTTGCCAGAGATGGAGACAGAGAGGTCCAGGAAGGAGAGAGAGGTATCAGAGATGGTCCAGGTGAACTTAAGGTTGGGGTGGAAGGTGTTAGTGAAGTGGATGAACTGTTCGAGCTCCTCGTGGGAGCATGAGGTGGTGCTGATACAGTCATCAATGTAACGGAAGAAGACGTGGGGGATAGGGCCAGTGTAGCTTTGGAAGAGGGATTGTTCCACGTATCCTACAAAGAGGCAGGTTTAGCTTGAGCCCATGCAGGTACCCATGGCCACCCCCTTTGTCTGTAGGAAGTGGGATGTCCTGGGGACTTGGGTTGAATCCCACCATGGCAGAAGGTGGAAATTGAATTCAATAAATATCTGGAATTGAGAGTCTAATGATGACAGTGAATCCATTGCCGATTGTCGGAAAAACCCATCTGGTTCACTAATGTTTTTTAGGGAAGGAAACTGCCATCCTTACCTGGTCTGGTCTACCTGTGACTCCAGACTCACAGCAATGTTTTTGATTCATAACTGCCCTCTTGGCAATTAGGGGTGGGCAATAAATGCTGGCCTAGCCAGTGACACTCTCATCCCACGAATGAATATTTTAAAAAAGTGCCTCAAACCAGGAAATAGATTGCTATATAATGTTGTGACAAAACAAGCCCAACCAATGTTAACTACACACACATCCCCCGCCCCCGCCCAAAATAAACCTTGAATGTGAAATTGATCAGAGACTTCCTGGAAGTTGATGCAAGAGTGAGCCAAGCTATTGCTCATTTTTGTACTACTGCTCAAGATCTATTTTACCCCAATAGAGTGGCACACAAACAAATTACATAGAGAAGGATATTGAAATAACCTGTGAAAGAAACCTGCTCTATATTGATTCAACTTCCTCCGGTTTCAGTGTTGCATATATTGCTAAAATTTCCAGCCAAAATTTGAAAGCAAAACTTAGAAAGACACTTTCATAAAACAGAAGTGTTGAATACATTCTTCCAAAATGTACGAATTTCCACAATCACTGTCATTTCTTTCTTGTAATCCACCAAAACAAGTAAATTCAGCCACGGCCTGACACTAGCTTTTTACAATAACTTTTTTCATGTCATATGTATTAATCCAACTATCTGCCACTGACAACACTCATCAGCAGAATAGATGTTATAATGTAAAATATAAACTCTGCAGGGGCTCAGTTTTCTTTGCATTATATATCATGTAATGTATCCTCTCTTGACTGCTTATCCAAATTTTGTCTTTTTATTTTACCATTACTTTGTAAAACAATTGAGCTAACAGTAATTATGGTACAGGATATGTTATGAAATGCTACCATAGAACATACTGCAAGGAATTAACATTAGCACATCTTACCCAACAGACCATAAAAAACAATGTTGTTGGGACAGTGTGCATGGAGACTTTAATGTGCAGTGTACATTTCTTGGGAATCTTTAGCTGATTAATCATACTATGCAATGTTGCA